GATGCGCACTTCTGCTGAGTTTCATACCAGGACGGAACAGCCGTCCAGTGCTTTTGGGTTTCTATTGGCGGTCTAGCAGTTATCGTAACATCATTTCAGTGAAATAATTTATCTCCTGACATGTTATTTTTACAGTCTTTACGAATAATTCACAGTATAGATTAGCAAACTAAGATACACCATGCCCTTGTAAAGTGATGTAAAAAAGAAACAAATCAGTGCAACTACACATAGAAATAGAACTATCGAATTAGTCTACAGTTGTTACAAAGTATTCGAAAACAGGGTAATTTAGTTGTGTAAATTGTGACCTTGAAGGATGCATATATAGTCCAAGTTTGAGTTGATGATAATATTTACACACTTGTAAAACATAATGACACAAACTTTTGAACTGATCACCTTGAAAAAGTACTTTTATGCCTATTCTCAATTCATGATTAACATGATTCATGCAAAATCTGTTCTTTTGTCTTAACTCTATTTGCCTTCATCTCTTTTTTTTCCGTATAATTCATTCCAGTCGGAATATCGCAATTTTCCAGATGCTCATTTAAATCTATGCCGTAAATGGCGTTATCGTATGTTACAATTAGCTCGATCATCATATGAAAGTGTATTGAATTTATGCAATATGACAATGAAACATCAACAAACCACTACTACTTCTACTACCCCAATCAATACACACGAAACACTAATCAATAATACAATGAATAAAAATGAAACGTTGGCTAATGATAATTGTTTATCTGAAAGCAACAACAACAATAATAATATTAATAATAATAGTAGCAATAAATTTATTCCACAAAGTAAAGAAGAAGAAGAAGCATGGTTATGTTATTATATGTTAGCTAAATGTGCTGAAAAAGAAGTACACATAATGAAACAACAACAACAACAATCTAATGGTCATCGTGACATTGATACACATTCAATCAAATCATCATTGTCTTCATCACAATCCTCCTTAATGCATGTTTTATACTTATATTATGAATCAATGAAAGCATTAGATGTAGCTGGTGCAAAATATCCGAAAAAAATTATTGTTTATAATAAAATACCATTTAGAGCTGTTGAAGCAATTGAAGTATGTGTTGTAAACTGGTATTTTGTACTTCTTTTCAGTCTTTATAATATTTGTTAAAACATTTATGTTTTCAACTAGGTTTTAAGTTTGGAAGCTGTTGGGGATGTTAGATCCCTCCAGAACTTGCTTGATAAATGCCTTATTTTGGATTTCACGTTTGCCAGCATGGGCTGGCTGATCAGTTGACCTTGAGATTTCATTTCCCACCAGGAAAATTCATGGCTGTGATTGGGTGCTGTGTATTTTGGTGTGCTATTTTCGTAACTGTCCCAAGGACGTTTCTATGATGTTTAAATAAACGAGAGTTGTGTGCTTGATTGCATTGTGATTGGTGGGTGTTGTAGAATATACTTTCTACGCTTATCAAGACTTCTGTTTTGCAGTTTGGGATTCAAGGTAGCCTACCTGGACGCTGGTAATTGTCTCGTTCGCGTTTATCGACTAAGGTGAACTCGTAATAGCCTCAAGCATACTTAGTGACGAACTTAATAGAAGCAAACATTACCTACTTCAGTTTGAGCAATTTGATAATATTACTAATCATGAAAATTTAATTGTGACTTGAAGCTAAGTATATGTATTTGGCAGTCAGGCAGTCAGTTAGTTACGATGTAGAACTTCGTAAGCACGTCAGGACATCAGTCCAGCACACTGAGATGGAATCGTCAATTTAAATCCCATAATGGTAGAGGTAGTAAAAGTATTAGCAGTAATCGGAGAGATTATTGTTCGAAGCTATGATACAAGAATCATGTGCCAGTGAAATAAATTTGAGAAGAGAAAGATAATGGTGATGAAGAATTCAAAGGATTTGGATTTGGGGGAGAGAGAGCACAAGGACTGGATGGATCTGCGCGATTGCAAACGGTTTTGAGTTATGTCATTTAAGGTCTCTAACCATCGATTACTATCATCTCGTGAACACCAACCAGGTAGTTTACACCTACCAACATGATCGAGTCGAGTTGTCAGTGACTTCATGTATTTGTGCGATGCTTTGGTTTGACCGCCTCTGACTTTATACACGCTAATCCTGCACTATAAAACATAGCTCGATAAGGCAGTCGGTGGTTAGTCATACGCAACACATGTCCCAACCACCTCAACTGATGAAGTTTCAATACTTCATCTATTGATTTGCCATCCCTACATAAATTTGTGCTTTCTAAACAAAAATACTTACTGTTAATAAATGATATTGATAATAATTATAGTAAAAAATATAAGTTATATTTCAAGTCAACAAATATTCACATATGTATATAGATATATATATATATATGTCCATACTACTTTCAGCTCTATTTTATTTATTACGAAGTACTAATGATCGAGAATAAACTGGATTTCGTTTATTGTCATAGACTGAATTGAGAGTATTTATATCATTGATCAGTTTGCCTGTATTGTGTAAAAGAAATTAGAGTAATTCTCAAAACCCCAGCCTTCACAAATTACTCGTTCAATCTTACTAGTCTCATAAAAAAAGGTGCCACAAAAACCTCCTAAATTGAGATATCAAGACTTTGGTTAGTTTATATATTTTTCTACTCTCTAATATCCATTGAATACTATCATACTTCGTTGAACTCTTTGTAGGATTTAATTTGTCCTACAGATATACTTCTAGAACCGTAAACACGATCCTAGCGAGCACAGAGTCTTTGTGAAAGCTATGGTCAGAACAGGGACAACTTGGCTTTAAACATTATCTGTTTCTAAACGTAAAAAAAAATTAGACTGGTACAATAATTAAGGAAATTACAGCCATTTAAGTGAAGCGAACAAACATACCGACCAATATGGCGTGTCTTATCGAAATGAATAAAATTATGAGTCATATGAGTCATAATAGGATAATAAAGTCTTTCAATTGGTAGGTCACATGCAATAGAGATAGTTTACAGACACATCAGACCAGATCAATGTGGTGAGCGCTTAAACTACGATTTGATTGGTTAGTTATGGGCATAACTAACACTTTCAAAATTCAAACACAATACGAAGATGAAGGGCTAAATCATTAGGTTTCCTTTAAGAATTCCTCAGTATCTTGTCTATTCATTTATTGAGTCATATATGATAGATATTTTAATTCATTCTTCTAAATACATCTATGTTAACATGATATGGTGTTTTTCTCTTTAGGTTTATTACAGAATTCATGCATTATCGCTGAAAACATTATTGAAATATGGACCGCCACCTACTTCTACTACTACTACTACTAATCAATCTTCACAATCCACTAATTCCATTTATCCAATTAATTTGATTGAACTTGATCAATTTTTGACAACAATTGATTCATCTGATTTTGTGACAAGTGCAAAAAAACCAAGGTGATTTTTTTATTCAAGTTCTCTTATGGCTTTCTCTAAATTATTACATTTATATGTATAGAACTTGACAATCTTCGCAATCCTATACTGATAATTATAAATGCTCACTAGTGAATAAATTTGAGATGCGGTTCCTAGAGTTCTAGGGACAAGCCGGGGCCAGTGATGTTCAGTTGTCATGAGTGTGGGTAAGTTTTCTACTGACGACAACCAAAGATAGTCACGCAATCACGCGGATTGATTTTATCGTTTGGTGGAGCTCAGCAGTCTAGAAATTAAACGTTCGCTCTAGAGACCAAAGGTCTTTGATTCAATACCCTATCTCGGGCTCGTTAACACTTACTACTGAGGAGCCCCATACTGGGACTAAACGGTAGTCCAATGTTTTTTCGACTGTCTAACTTAGATTGAATCGTGATCTAATGTTGAGGGTGCTAGATCTCTTGATTTCATAATTTATGTACTTATTTTCTTGTTAAAATCTACCCTTATTACGTCCAGTTAGTATTTCCCACTTAAAACGTAACATCTTATTACAATCTTACCATTTTGCACAACCTGTACTGTTACATATATACTGTTGAATACCGAACTAGCCTATTATAAGATGAAGAAAATTCCTATTGCTTAAACAAATGAAAACTTATCGAGGTTACATATATGTCTATGATATTGAAGTGATTCAGCTCGGGATATGTGTGTAGGGATTTCGACCAAGGGAGAATAACTAACTCACCCACACTTGCATTCCTTACTTCTTGTCTGACCATGTGACAATATGTTGTCCGGTTGACCTTTCAATAATGTGTATTCTTTGTGAAAATACTCGACAATTCAATACTCAAGTTACAATGACAGAAGTGATTCTGTGCAGCCTTAAGTAGTTCAACACTCGATTTCTATCTGGAGATTTACAAGTGGATTTCAAATAAACTTATCATCAGACGTCTCTAATTATTTTAGATTCTGTTGTAACGCTTGCTTGAATAATTTCCAGCTAATTCCTATTGCTTAGTATTTTCTGACCACAACACACTGGACAAGTTCCAAAGAATCAAGAACACAGTGGAATAGGAAAAGATTATATTCCGAATAGCAAGGTTAGATGGAAATAAGAAGCCGAAGGCGAAAATAGATACAACGTTAGTTTCTTCATAGTATTTACATGAGAAGCTTCTGGATTGTAATTCACGTGATCGACTGAATTAGATTTAGCCAATCAGCATGCAGCTAACAACACGAGAATTTTCTACCCTGTTCTCCAAGAATCGATCAGGCGCTGATTGGATAGGAAATTAGCCAATCAGCGCGCAGCTGACTCAGCATGGTTTATTGTGTCCCTCTAACAGATTCTTTCAAAGAACATCTTTCTTCTTAACACGATGAAAGCCATTAAGAAATTCTCATACATTTATGTCATACGAGTCTTTCTAACTGTGTGGTAGACCATGTTTTTATTATACTTCAGTATAAACTTGGAATATAATCTAATGTTTGTATTATGTAATTTAATGTTGAAATTTGTACACGAGAATACATTAATTGTTTTGTTTGTTTGTTTCAGTCGAAGAACTCGTAAACGAACAGCCAACATGGCAGGATTATCTACTAAACAAAATCAACTTCAAAAATTAACTACTAATCAAATTGGATCTTGTGAAAATCATGACAAACAAATAGGAGTAAATAATATAGCTGAGAATCCTGATCAAACTCACTTTAATTCAGATAAATTAGTGCAACCAATTAATTCGAATACAATTTCATCACAAGATGAATTTATTGATCTGGTCTCGCCTGATCCAGGGATTGATGAAGAGGAGTCGACGAAATTATTGGCACCACGACCATCATCATCATTGTCGTCGTATTCATCGACCAATGATGGTACCAATAAATTAGGTAAATATTTTCCTCTTAAGCATATTCACATGTTTACTTATTCAGCATATACAATTTTACTATTATTATTATTATTATTATTATTATTATTATTATTATTGATCTGTTGTTTCGTTTGTATGTTTCAGTGTAAAATGTTTTATTTTCAATATCTTCATCAATAATGATGGTTCAATGGTTAGTGCCAAAATTATGAATTACAAATCATTCTGTTTATTTAATTCAATATTCAATCCGTTGAAGCAGTTCATCATCATCATCATCATCATCATCTCGTGTGCTGTTACGGGTATGAGGGCGGTTGTCACTTCCCGGCTGCCCACACCGTGGAAGGGTGTTTCTTGAGGAACCTGAAAAGGAAGGTAGATTAGCATTAACGACCTGGGAGCGTGACCGCAGAGCCCAAGGGACAACTGCTTGAGGCCGGTCACGCACGGCATTTTGATGAGTTTTTTTGAGTGTTAGCGCCGCTCTTGAAAGCCGTTGTTGGGCACCTTTACCACTGGAGACGGAAATCCCTGAGGTAGGGTTAGGTGTGACATTTTTAGGGTCAACCTTTTCTAAAAATTCCTTCCTTGTGAGAAGGCAGCATCTCTGTAGATGCTGATTGTCCGAGGGAAACACCCTACTGCTGTCACACCTCTCTACAGCAGTCAGCAGTACGACTTCGCCCTCAGACATTGAGTAGCTGCTTTTACTCTCATCGTTCTCCAATCGACCTACCTGGCATGGTAGAACCTTCAGGAACACATTTTTCAGCCAGTATAGCTCGGTTGGGTCATCACGATAGGTAAGGCCGACCACCACGTCAAGGTAGCAGCTTCGGTTGGACATTGAAGCAGTTATTGTGGGGCTGTAATTGTCATTCTGAACAAAGTCATCAATTAATCAGTCAGTCAGCTACAACAAAGAACTCGGTACTTGCGTACATCAGTTCGAGTTGCCGTACTACATTAGTGCACAGAGAAGTAATTGCCGATTCAAATCGCGTAGTAGTTGAGGTAGTAGAAATATTAGTGGTAATGTGGAAGAATAGGGTTCAAAGATAGTATTCAAGAAGAAGAATCTAATGAAGTAAATTTAGAGAGAGAAACGTGAGTTGATGAGCAATCTAGAAGACTAGAATTTGAGAGAACACAAAGAATGAATGCACCTGTGCCGTTGCAAACGATTTTGCACTATGTGATTCAAAGTTTCTAACCACCGGTTATGATTGTCTCGCGGACCTGAACCAGTTAGTCTTTATCTACTAACGTAGCTTAGTCGAGTTGTCAGTGAATCCATGGATTTGTGCCATGTTTTGGTTTGGCCTCCCCTTGCTTACTCATAGCGCACCCTGTACACTACGAAAAATCGCTCGTTGAGGCAGTCAGTGGCGAGGTATACGTAACACATGTCTCAGTCAACTCAACTAGTGAAGATTCACTATTTTGTCCATTTATCTGTCATCTTTACCTAATACCCGCTTACTAACTACACCATTGCTTACTCGGTGGTCTCAGGATGTACGGGCAATTCTTCGAAGACCATTATGATCGAATACTGGTAACCTGTGAATAATAACCTATGAAGTTTTACTGGTCATGTTTCACAGCCATAAAGTAGGACGAAGCGAATTGCAGCGCAGTAGATTCCTCTGTTGAACTGATTATTCTGGTTAGCGTTTTTAAGCGAGATAGTTTTTTTATGGGATGAGACCACCCACCGCATGCCCAACCCTCCACATTTATGCGGCTTTGGACCGGCAGTTACCTCAGAGAGGTTCCATGTGGAGTTGATGTAACAGATATTTTATATTTTCTTTTCGAAATTTCCTCACTCATATATAATAAATAAATTGAATTCAACGTATTTCGCTTATTTCTCTTTAATAAATTTACTGTATAAGGTTTATGGAAAAATTGTATTGATCGTTGCCGTCGTGCATTAGAATTGGTACTTCAAAGATTACCGCTACATTATAAAGCAATGTATCGACTAGCCTCTCTATATTTGAATGCTTCACATTTAAAAGTAAGAAAATTTTTTAATTATTGAAATATTTCTATGTATTTACGTAAAGTAAAATTTATCATGGTGCATTTTCTTTCTCTGAGCTTGATGTTTCGGTTGTGAAGTTTTGATTGCTATTCTTGTGAACAACATCATCTGGACAAACTCCGGGTAGGATTGACGTTTATGCTGATGTTGTTGATCAGTGGAGTGATGAAATCTCCACTAGCAAAACATCCAGAACAGAGAACAAAACTTGATCAGTGATCATCCATCTGAGCTACAAATGTTCTCTTCACTATCTCGAAATAAAATATTTTATTCCTGAATGCTCATGTCTGATCGTCAATTTTTTAATACAATCGTTATAGCCATAAGCTGCGTAAACGTTTTCAATGAATTACACTAGTTTTTATAGAACATTTGATTAGTTGAATGATTAGAAGTTAATTTCCTTTCATTGAATCGCATTGTCGTTGTTTTCATTTTAATGCTTACATTTTTCTTTTACTCTTTTCATTTCATCTGTTATGGTTCTTTTTACAGGATTCTTCTAAAGCATTAGATATATTATTGGGACCAACAGATGAATCACAGAAACATGCAACATTCAACATGAATACTAACAATTCAACTAATAATAATAATAATAATAATCATTTGAATATTGGTGGTTTATTTAAGGATCGGAAACAGAATAACTTTTTCTATGTATGTTATTATTATTTTTATTATTATTATTTTGATTTACGTGTGTTATTTCTATTAAATATGAAGCATTTATAATTGTGTTTAGAATATTTTATAATCAGGAACTGGAATATATAAACGTGATCAATCAATTAGACACATTCAATGCCATATATAGCTCCCAATCGGTGTAAGTCTAATTCTATTGGTCGATTCCTCCTACTGGTCAATATTATGGTCGTCCTAGTTATTTTAATATCTCGTACTTCAATGTTGTTTCTTATTGGTTGTCCTGACTATCAATGTCACTTCAAATGTTGTTTCCTATTGGTTGTCCTAACTGTCAATATTACAGACATCAATGTTGTTTCCTATTCGACGTAACTGTAAAAATACGCATTGTCTGTAATTTTTTATGACCCGGACCCGGATCCCTAGTCCGAGATCCTGATTCTCTTCTGGACTCGGACCTCGTACTTTCTGGATGCTTGTAGAATACATGTTCTACTTCATATCAAGTCTTCTTCTTTTACTCAATGTGGGTTTGGGACAATTGGATTAGAGTAGTAGCATGTCGTGTCGCCGGATCCTCGCTCTTGTTTTCCGACTAAGGTAAACTCGTAATAGTTCAAGCATATCAAATGACGTGTTTACGTGCATTCGTAACACAGTCACAATAATTTTGAAAATCCATATTTTTATTTTTATCTCCCTCCAGATTGTTTCTCTTCATAAATACATTTTTACTCGTTTTTCTTCAAAGTACATTCTCAATGTTAAATCGATAGTACTATCACTGATATTATAGTTGTCTTGATCACTTTGATATTTGATGCATTATTTTCAGTTCATTGAGATGAGGCAGTTTAGTTACTTCTTCTAATATATATCAGTTTCAAGCTTTACATTAATTATGACTGATTGATTCTTTATGGTCATACGTCATTATACATATATGCGTACATTTTGAAGATCGACAGCATTATCTTCAAATATGTGTTGTATTGTGTTTTACAGGGTGTATGGCGTATTCCAACTGCAGATATTGATCGAAGTGGTAATTTTGCAGCTCATATGTATCGATCAGTTTCTTTAACTCTCTCCTTACTTCATGATCATGGAGATTGGAGACGTTTAGTTCAAATATTTCATCAATTAAGGAAACAACCACCGGAAGAGAAGTTAGTTTGTTTTCTATGTGTGGTTTCAACATAGTTTATTCTTTATTGTTGCTATTATTATTATTATTATTACTATCAAGAAAAACGTGTTACATAATAATTACTTGTTAAGAAAAAATTCTCTTCATCGATTCGATGTTTTTATTTCTATCTCAACTAATGTATTAAATTTGTCTCAGGTAAACAGAAATTTCAGCTTCTAACTTTGTAAATGTAGTAATCAGGGAAAATGTGATGAGGCTAAACAGTTTTCATAATAAACCGTTATCATTAGTGAAGTTGATATTATTTTCATAGTCTAAATCATAAAACAGTCTTACAAAAATTACTGTTTAAAACCAGTAGAGTTATATTTCGTTAGGGGAAAATAGAATGTGATTGGCCAGATAACTGTATTGAGACCTTGACTGCTCATCTCTAAACTATAATTTTCCCTTAAATTTTACTTATGTGGTTGGTGAAATTGAAATGTGACTAGTTACTGAGTATGGACAGACAGACCAACACAGACACTTAACTCACTGACTAATCCATATATGATTTCCTAAGTAACGTTAGTTTCTACTGTGAGCTCACTGAGTGAAAACTTTTTGTATTTGTATTGAATGTGGTTTAGTTTGTTTTCTAATTCGTGGTTTTCGATCGTGAATCGTGTGGCCAGTAAAATCATGGTTACCGGTGTAATCGTATATTAGTAATTTATGGTTACAAAGCGATAATATTTTATCCTGCCGTTATATCGAAAATGCTGGACAAATGTTTCGTTTTTTATTGAACTTCCTAGCATTGGGTATTCACTCCCCACAGTAGGGAATCGTACCCAGTATTTTCGTCTTCCTACTCTGTAAATAAGCATACGCTCAATAGGAATTATCTCTATGTTCCGATTACTTCAGTTTCAAAAAGAAATCCTTACTACGGGATTACAATCATGTTTAGTATGAAACAGTTATCCAACTGTAGTAGATACTGGTAGATAGTCGCTCAGTGTTATGACTTGATTGAAGTTTGATTTATATGTTACTAGCGTTGGTCTCGGTGTTATATTTGATCATCAGTTAAGTTTCCGAAGCATAAAATAACGCCTAATCGATTTCTTTTTCCTTTCCTATATGTAGTCTTTCATATGTTATCATGACTCTCTATTTTGAACGTCTTTCGTTTCTTTTTGATTGTTAAGACAAAGTTTCAACTTTTATCTCATCAGTTCATGATATTACTTATTTGGTTTCTAGTAGTCGTAGTATTTATCGTAAATTAAGTTATTTAACTCAATTAGGTGGAAATAGTTATTTGATGTGAAGTCGTTTTTGTTGAACTCATAACCAGCATAACATTAGTTAGAATTTGCTAAAATAATAATTGTAATGATTAGATTGTAAATAGTTATGAAACCAATGTACACGTTCATTACAGAGTTATGGAGATAGTCTTTTATTGCTGAAATCATCAGTTAGTCATTTTTAGGCCAACACTCGTCCTGATATGGGACTTATCAGCAGGAACTAGGCGTTCGCACTTAGGACCGTAGGTCCTGCGTTTGAATCCTGCGAGCAGGAAGAGTCATGGATGCGTACAGCTGATGTGTCCCTTATCAGGACGAAACGGCCGTTCAGTGCTTGCAGGTTTCCAATGGTAGTCTAACAATGATTGATTCATGATTTCGATGTATTTGTGCAAATTGGATTATTACATTTTCCTCAATAGTGAATGTTCAATGTTTGCTGAATGTTTGATGTTTGATAAATCTTTGTACTCATTCGAAAATTTAATTTTTGTATTAATAAAGTTAATTTGAGAAAAATGAATAAGCTTGAACTAAAGAAATTTAATATCCATGTTTATATTCCAATATTGAATATTTTCCCTATTGTATCTCGAAACAAATATTTTGCTGGTTACTTAATTATTTCATAAAAAGAATAGAGACATTTTATGTGTATTGAATTACTTCAAAGTAGAAATAATATTGGATATTGTAAATCAATTGATGTTTTTGAACGACAAACTTTCGATTTCCAAAATATAAGAAAGTGACTCCTGATTGCCTAGTACTTACTGGTAGGTGCAGAATACTCATATTAGAGAGAGAAAAATCTGTCTTCTACTTTTATAATTCTCTGTAAATTATCTTAATCCGTAACGGATATTACAGACAGTGGGTGTTTTGATTATTTTTTATTCAGATTTATTTGTGTATTGTTCAAATTGTAATTGACTCACGTGCGCTGAATACCAAACAAATAATTCTTATCGAAGAAGTAAATTTATTTCTTAGACATGAGGTCATTATGCACTGAAAAGAATACACTTTCTAGTCCTTATCGTATGATCTATGTTGAAATTGGTTTCTTCTCCGGATTCTTCTTTAGACTAAAAATCAAATCGTTTAAACTAATAAATGAATGGAAACTTTTATCGGAATAAAGAAACAACACCATTTTCTTATCATAGAGATAACAAAATAATCTGACGTGTTTTTTTGATTAGTGAAATGAGAAAGATGCGTTACATACACGTGATAATAAGGTTAAATTCACAAATGATCAGTTTGGCTCATATTTATAATCACATGACAATAATAATAATAATAATAATAACAATAATAATAATAATGATAATTTCTTTAACAAATATGCGTATTGGTCATGCGAGATGATTGTAGGATTTAATTTGTCCTACAGACGTAATTCTAGAACTGTAAACGGAATATTGGCGAGCACAGAGTCTATGGAAAAGCTATAGTCAGAACAAGACCAATTTTTGCTTTAAACTTTATTTGTTTCTAAACATAAAAAAAATTAAATTAGTACAATAAATAAAGAAATTGCAATTATCAAGTAAGACGAGCAAACGTATCGACCAATATAACGTGTCTAATGGAAATGAATGAAGTTATGAGTCACATCAATATAACAAGACAATAATGTCCTTCAATTAGTAGGTCATTTACAACAAGGAAAGTTTACAGACATGTCAGATGAGATCACGTGGTGGGCGCTTAAACCGCAATTCGATTGGCTAGTTATGACATAACTAACTAACAATGATAGTAATCGATGATTCGAGATCATGAATGACAAGGCTCATAAACGTTTGCAATGGTGCAGATGCGCCCATTCTTTATGTTCTCACAAATCATCTGGATTGTTCATCACTCTTATCCTTTTCTTTTTAAGTTTATTTCACTGGATTACACTTCTTGAATAATATCGTTGAACCTTAATCTCTCCGATTACTGTTAATAATTGTTCTACCTCTGCTACTACGGGACTTATATCAACAATTGCATTTGTATGCCGATGTGGTATGGCAACTTGAACTAATATACCTACGTATGGAGTTCAACGTTGTAACTGACTGACTGACTGAATATGCTCATTAATTTTTATGTTCAATTCGTTTCCCAATTTTTTTCTCTCTTTTTCTATGTGTATATTTATTAGAAGAGGATTTCTTGGTGAAGGTGATCGTGTGTATTTAGCAAAACGTGCATTCAATCTTATCCAACCAACATTGCTGAATTGGTTAACTCAATTATCATTATTATTAGCAAATCAAATTAATGAACAAATTTCCAAAGATCATACATTTGTATTTCGTTCTGATATATCATGTCTGACAACATCACAAAGTTTTTTAACCAATGACATTTTAATACAAATATATCGACTACATTGTGTTGCATATTCACGTAATTCCTCTTCTTCTTCATTATCATCATCATCGTCCACTTTACATAGTTTAAATTCTAGTCTTTCTTCACCTACTACCACTGCTACTACTACTAACAATGTTACAAGTAGTATAAATAGTAATAATAATACAAATAATAGTTCGACGACTAATTGTTCTTCTGGTAGTACATCTACTACTACTCTACCTGATGCTAGTACAGTTTTAGCAGCTGAAATATCTGGTTATGCATCAGTTCTCCAGTTAGCCTATCGATTATGTCCAACAGTTTGGGTTAGTTTGAACATGTTTTGAAAATACCTTTTTATAATTTATTTACTCTCAGTAGTATTTTTCTAATCAATTAATGTAACGAATGAGTTAATAATCGGTTGAGAAAGAGAGTCCAAATAATCTGATAATATAATGGTACTTTAAGAGATGATATGAGGTTACCATTCAGTGATTCAGTCAGTCAGTTGCAACGTAGAACTTCG